GAGAGAGCATGAGTTAACATGCAGACAGGTGTAGAGAGAGAGAGAGAGAGAGAGCATGAGTTAACATGCAGACAGGTGTAGAGAGAGAGAGAGAGAGAGAGCATGAGTTAACATGCAGACAGGTGTAGAGAGAGAGAGAGAGAGAGAGAGCATGAGTTAACATGCAGACAGGTGTAGAGAGAGAGAGAGAGAGAGAGAGCATGAGTTAACATGCAGACAGGTGTAGAGAGAGAGAGAGAGAGAGAGAGCATGAGTTAACATGCAGACAGGTGTAGAGAGAGAGAGAGAGAGCATGAGTTAACATGCAGACAGGTGTAGAGAGAGAGAGAGAGAGCATGAGTTAACATGTAGACAGGTGTAGAGAGAGAGAGAGAGACAGGTGTAGGTGTGCTCAGGTGTTCACCTTGGCCGTGTAGCTGATCTGAGGGTTTTCTATGTGCACAGTGGCGCTGGTCCACCGGGGCAGAGGTAGGGGGGCGTCCTGACCCACAGACGAAGATCCTCTGCTGGGATACAACTTCCACTCCAACACCACCGACTGGGCGTGAACCACTGCACAGGTACCAGTTTGAGGGATCAGAGAGGAGTCTGGATCAGTAACACCAGTCAGAAAGCCGTTCGACCTCCAGACAGAGTTCATCTATAAATATGAAATATTCCAAACCTTTGCCAGCAGCACCAGAGAGGCTGCAGCGCCGGCAGAGTTCCCCAGCCAGGGCTGCTCTCTGCTGGGCTCAGCGTCCCACCAGCTCCCCCCGACAGACCGCGACCCCGCAGACCCCTGAGAGTCCACGATCACTGAGACGCTCTTCGTGTCCGCTCCCTCCATGTTCCACGCTACACAGGTATAAACACCTGGGGGGGTATATTTAGTTTTTAAAATGTTGTTTTATTGTTTGATCTTCAGATAAAAGTTGCATGTTTTCCATGGAAACTCACACTTTCATTTATCAAAGCAGTTGCAAAATGAATCGAAGATCTACCCGAGACACTGACGAGGTTAGAAACTGAGTTTTATTTGAAATAATAATTTTGTCACTTTCAGCCTCGCAGACCTTTTGACCTTCTGGCTGTCAGTTTGTTGAAGTAGTCTGAAGAAATTTCACGCCACGCTTCCTGAAGCACCTCCCACAAGTTGGTCCTGGCTCGATGGGCCCTTCGTACGTACCGTACGCTCAAGCTGCTCCCACAACAGCTCAGGAGGGCGGAGATGCGGCGACTGCGCCGGCCGCAGCGTTCCAGACACAACACCAGCTGACTGCTTCTTCCCTAAATACCTCTTGCAGTTTGGAGGTGAGCTTCGGCTCGTTGTCCTGTTGTAGCAGGAAACTGGCTCCAATCAGGCGCCGTCCACGGGGCGTGGCGTAGCAAAATGGAGCGATAGCCTTCCTTATTTAAAATCCCTTTGACCTTCTGCAGACCTCCCTCTTCAGCAGCCCCAGACCATCACATGACCTCCGCCATGCTTGACACACGGCGTCTCCTCCAGCAGCTGTTCGCCTGTTCTGCGTCTCACAAATGTTCTTCTGTGATCCAGACACCTCAAACTTCGTCCGTCCTTAACCCTTTTTCCGATCTTCCTCTGTCCGATGTCTCTGTTATTGGCCATTCTCAGATATGGCTTTTTCTTTGCCTCTCTGCCTCGAAGCATCTTCACTGTGGACGTTGAGACTGGCGTTTTGCGGGGACCATTTAACGAAGCTGCCACAGCTGTTTCTCAAAGTCAGACTCTAGTGGACTCGTCCTCTTGCTCACTTGTGCACCCGGACCTCCCACTTCTTTCTGTTCTGGTCAGTCTGAAGGGAGTAGTGCACAACGTTGTAGGAAATCTTCAGTGTCTTGGCAGTTTCTCGCATGGAACAGCCTTCATTTCTCAGAACAACAGACTCGAGTTTCGGAAGAAAGTTCTCTTTTTCTGCCAGTTTGACACAATCGAACCCACAAACGCTGCTGCTCCAGATGCTCAACTAGCTCAAAGGAAGCAGTTTTCAGCTGTGTAACATATTCGCTCGAGGGTTTTGTAATCATCAGCCAGCCCTTCAACACGAGTACCTAATAAAATGTCCCATTAAAGGAAATGGGCCTCTGCAGATATTCCATCAAAGATCATCGTCATTTACCACATGAACAATGTCTCGACTCTGATTCATTTAATGTTGTTCTCATTGAAGAAAAATGCTTTTCTTTCAAAAAATAAGGACATTTCCAAGTGACCCGCAAAGTTTGACCGGTACTGTGAATCTAACGTTTTTTCATAGTTTGTGTGTGAATTTGCTGTTTACCTGAACATTCCTGCCAGTAAAGCTAAGTGAAGTGAAATGATGAGTGTTGGAAGATATTTTGGGGGCTTCAGTGCTGCTGTTTGCACATATTTGCTGATCTTTGTTGTTGTATATTTTTATGTTGTCAGTTATATATTTATATGTTCACAATATTCTCTAACGTTGCGTTACTTCTGCACAGACCCAGAATAATGCACATGTATATATCTGTCTGTCTGTCTGCCTGCAGCTCCTCATCACAACAGCAAAGTCCTCGTATGTGTAAAACACTACTTGGCAATAAAGCTGCTCCTGACTCTGATTACCTGCAGTAAGATCAGCTGCAGCGTCCAGTCACTGACAGATCTCTGATAAAGACGTGTGTCGGCGGGATAAAGGACTTTGGTGCCAACAGAAACATCGTGTGGGCCGGTGCGCTGATTTTAACACCGCTGTGTTTACAAACTTGCGGGACGTTTCGGGGAAACTTGTCGTTCAATCAGAAAAGTTTTGAGATTAAACTCTCCTCCGCTCGCATGTCTCGACAGCAGCAATAAGACGAGACCTCACGGTCCTTCTCTAGGTGAGCCCCGCCCCTCGGCAGCCGTCTTGGTAAGGCCTCGGGTATCTGGGATCAGGATCAGGTCTCTCTCTGAATGAGCGGCTTCTGGTCCCCATGAAACCTGCATGAATCAGCAGGAAAACCTGAACCAGGTTTATAAAGAGTTTCTCCCTGCAGGTTAGACCTGCACGAGCTTTCACCACACCCCTTCATTTACGGCGCTAGGCAGAGCGCCGGGGCGGGACGCCGTGAGCTCCTCCCACCTTGAGCTCCTCCCACCTTGAGCTCCTCCCACCTTGAGCTGATGCTAAGCTAACTGAGGTTCTGGACACAGGCGGCAGTTTCCTAACAGGTCCAGCAGTACTGCAGATCACACCTGGGGCCTTTAACGCAGGACTCTGGAGGACACGTGGAGACCTGATCTCGCTCACACACCTGCTCCTCGCCGCCGCCACGACATCTGAAACTGACGTCAGTGGAGCCACGCGATTGGCTGAATGTGTTTCCCGTGAGTGATCACATGAGGGAAATGGGACGCACCCCCTGCAGGCAGGATGTGAACATCCATTCTGACTCACCTGCGTCTGACGGCTCCGCGTGTTCGATCACCAACGCTCCGGGTTCCGACACGCGATGCTTCTTCTTCTTCCTGATTAGGCCACGCCCCTCCCCTGATATGATTGGTGCAGCCACCGCCTCTGAGCTCACCTGACCAGGAAGGAAACACAGAAAAAGGAGCGACCTCATCAGTGTTCCCTCTGAAGGACGAGCCAACATGATGAACAAGATGACCCAGAAGACAAATACAGAACATATTTAGAAAGAAGGAAATAAAATTATTTAGAAAATCTAACTACACTGAACTACACACATATAAAAGCATTATTTTATGTAATGTGCACATAATAATATTTAAGTAAGCAAACATGTGTTATTATATATCTTGTTATTGGCTTTGCTGGTTTTGATGTCGCTGATCAAAAGTTATCAAAAGAACTTTTAGTCGTTAATCATAATTTTTACTTTTGTGTCTTTACGTACAATTTTACATAAATGCCCGTAAATCTAAATCGGCTTACCAGGGTACACGCGGGAATCCTGAAGTCAAATTCAACATATTTTAAGACTTCTTAAAATACTTTGAGCTGGAACCGATTAAATCAACAGTTTTCAGATTTCCTGCGTACGGTCGGTTGTTCTGGTAAATCGGTCGATTCCCGCGACTAACGTTCCAGAGACGAAGTCGCTCCTCTCCGCCTGCCCGGCGTTATAAATAAATCCGTTCACCTGCACTTCAGCAAACACACTTTGGGACAAATAGGATTTTCACATTAAATTAAGACTTCTTAAGACCCCGCGGACGCCCTGCTTCAGCTATTGTAACCAAACTTGTCGCGTCGGCTCAGACGATCGGTCCGAGCTTCACCGAGCAGCTCTGGGATATTCTTCCACTAGAGGGCGCCAAAATATTTAACACGCCCAAAACCCAGAATTGTCTCACCAACATCTTCACAGTTTTAAGCGTTTTAAGTTTAAACTGTAAGTGTGTGAGAGAGTGAGTGTGTGAGAAAGTGAGTGTGTGAGAAAGTGAGAGTGAGAGAGTGAGAAATTGAGAGTGTGAGAGAGAGTGAGAATGAGTGAGTGAGAGAGTGAGTGTGAGAGAGTGAGTGTGAGAGAGAGTGAGAATGAGTGAGTGAGAGAGTGAGTGTGAGAGAGTGAGTGTGAGAGAGAGTGAGAATGAGTGAGTGAGAGAGTGAGTGTGAGAGAGTGAGTGTGAGAGAGAGTGAGAATGAGTGAGTGAGTGAGTGTGAGAGAGAGTGAGAATGAGTGAGTGAGTGAGTGTGAGAGAGAGTGAGAATGAGTGAGTGAGTGAGTGTGAGAGAGAGTGAGTGTGAGAGAGAGTGAGAATGAGTGAGTGAGTGAGAGAGAGTGAGAATGAGTGAGTGAGTGAGAGAGAGTGAGTGAGTGAGAGAGTGAGAATGAGTGAGTGAGAGAGTGAGTGTGAGAGAGTGAGTGTGAGAGAGAGTGAGAATGAGTGAGAGAGTGAGTGTGAGAGAGAGTGAGAATGAGTGAGTGAGTGAGTGTGAGAGAGAGTGAGTGTGAGAGAGAGTGAGTGTGAGTGTGAGAGAGAGTGAGTGTGAGTGAGTGAGAGAATGAGTGAGTGAGTGAGAGAATGAGTGAGTGAGTGAGAGAGAGTGAGTGAGTGAGAGAGTGAGAATGAGTGAGTGTGAGAGAGAGTGAGTGTGAGAGAGAGTGAGTATGAGTGAGTGAGTGAGAGAGAGTGAGAATGAGTGAGTGAGTGAGTGAGTGTGAGAGAGAGTGAGAATGAGTGAGTGAGTGAGTGAGTGTGAGAGAGAGTGAGAATGAGTGAGTGAGTGAGTGAGAGAGTGAGTGTGAGAGAGAGTGAGAATGAGTGAGTGAGTGAGTGAGAGAGAGTGAGAATGAGTGAGTGAGTGAGAGAGAGTGAGTGAGTGAGAGAGTGAGTGTGAGAGAGTGAGTGTGAGAGAGAGTGAGTGAGAGAGTGAGTGTGAGAGAGTGAGTGTGAGAGAGAGTGAGAATGAGTGAGTGAGTGAGTGTGAGAGAGAGTGAGAATGAGTGAGTGAGTGAGTGTGAGAGAGAGTGAGAATGAGTGAGTGAGTGAGTGAGTGAGAGAGTGAGAATGAGTGAGTGAGAGAGTGAGTGTGAGAGAGTGAGTGTGAGTGAGAATGAGTGAGTGAGTGAGTGTGAGAGAGAGTGAGAATGAGTGAGTGAGAGAGTGAGTGTGAGAGAGAGTGAGAATGAGTGAGTGAGAGAGTGAGTGTGAGAGAGAGTGAGAATGAGTGAGTGAGTGAGTGAGAGAGAGTGAGAATGAGTGAGTGAGTGAGAGAGAGTGAGTGAGTGAGAGAGTGAGAATGAGTGAGTGTGAGAGAGAGTGAGTGAGTGAGAGAGTGAGAATGAGTGAGTGTGAGAGAGAGTGAGTATGAGTGAGTGAGTGAGTGAGTGTGAGAGAGAGTGAGAATGAGTGAGTGAGTGAGTGAGAGAGTGAGTGTGAGAGAGAGTGAGAATGAGTGAGTGAGAGAGTGAGAATGAGTGAGTGAGTGAGTGAGAGAGAGTGAGTGAGTGAGAGAGTGAGTGTGAGAGAGAGTGAGAATGAGTGAGTGAGTGAGAGAGAGTGAGTGAGTGAGTGAGAGAGTGAGAATGAGTGAGTGAGTGAGAGAGAGTGAGTGTGAGAGAGAGTGAGTGTGAGAGAGAGTGAGTATGAGTGAGTGAGTGAGTGAGTGTGAGAGAGAGTGAGAATGAGTGAGTGAGTGAGTGAGAGAGTGAGTGTGAGAGAGAGTGAGAATGAGTGAGTGAGAGAGTGAGAATGAGTGAGTGAGTGAGAGAGAGTGAGTGAGTGAGAGAGTGAGTGTGAGAGAGAGTGAGAATGAGTGAGTGAGTGAGAGAGAGAGTGAGAATGAGTGAGTGAGTGAGAGAGAGTGAGTGTGTGAGAGAGTGAGTGTGAGAGAGTGCGTGAGAGTGAGTGTGAGAGAGTGAGTGAGTGAGAGAGAGTGTGAGAGAGAATGAGTGAGTGAGTGTGAGTGAGTGAGTGTGTGAGAGTGAGTGAGAGAGTGAGTGTGAGAGTGAGTGAGTGAGTGAGTGTGAGAGAGTGAGTGAGTGAGTGAGTGTGAGAGAGTGAGTGAGTGAGAGTGAGAGAGTGAGTGAGTGAGTGAGTGAGTGAGTGAGTGAGTGAGTGAGAGAGAGAGTGAGTGTGAGAGTGAGTGAGTGAGTGTGTGAGAGAGTGAGTGAGTGAGAGTGTGTGAGTGAGTGAGTGTGTGAGAGAGTGAGTGAGTGAGTGTGTGAGAGAGTGAGTGAGTGAGTGTGAGAGAGTGAGTGAGTGAGTGTGAGAGAGTGAGTGAGTGAGTGAGTGAGAGAGAGAGTGAGTGTGAGAGAGTGAGTGAGAGAGAGAGTGAGTGAGAGAGAGAGTGAGTGTGAGAGTGAGTGAGTGAGTGTGTGAGAGAGTGAGTGAGTGAGTGCTATGATTGGTGTATTTCTAGTGAGCCACCTTAAAAACTTCACATACTTGGCTACTTGTTGGTCAGTCCGAAATGTTTCTTATTACACGCAAAGACGCGCAATTTCCTGTTGGGCCGGCCGGAGCTTTGGACTAATAAACACCAGATTCTGATAACAGATCAAAGTTAACTGTTTTTATTCAATAAAATATTAAAAGATTATTATATAATTTTTGGGATTAAAACATTGATGTATCTTCACTAGTTGCTTCTCAGCAGCAGCAACCTCCACTGTTGTCATTAGTGTCGGTGAACACGCAGAGCTCTGTGATACTATTAATCAAAACTGGACATTAGTTGGAGAAAAGGAAGCGAGGAGGTTGAACTACCTGGTGAGTTCAGAAAACATGTGTCTGTAACTGTTTATTCCAGCTGTCGTTGTACTTTACTGTGAACAGGTTAGTGTAGCATAGCCCTGATCGAACCAAACTCCATTCAGAAAACAAACATTTTAGAAGCTGCTGACCTGCTGACAGACCTGACAAAGCATCACTTCATATGTTCAATAAAACAGCATCATGTTGTCGTTATTTCAGCATCAGTTTGATCCGTTAATTGCTGTTTAACAGCACTGCAACATGTTTACTTTGGGTTCATATCGCTGTAGTAATGGCGGGTTTGCTTTAATTGCATCATCACATTGTGTGTGAACACTCGGCGAGCAGTCCAGCGATGAAACTCACGCAAGAGAAGCGACGATTAAATTTGCGTTTGGTCTGAACTGTCGGGCTGCAAAATTAGCGTTCTGGTGGTTTGTGTGAACGGGGTGGCCTGAGTCTGAACTATTAAGCCAGTCCGTCCCTGCATGTGTGCAAATGTTTCTGCTCAACAACTGACTCTCAAACGTCGAAGTTTCCTCAAACACACCAACAGGGAACCGACCACATCACCTGGGCCAAGTTCAGCCTGACAAAACGTAGCACAACATTTCTTTAAATGGAAACAGTTGTGTTGTGCACTTGTATGAACGTCGCTGCTGATTGGATAACACCTCGGCCACGCCCACCTAACAAGAAAAAACTTACTTCAAAAGGAAATAAATCGTTAAATGCGGAAACAAACCGCTGCAAAACGTTCTGAGATTGAATGTGTACCTGCACATCTACCTGTAGCACACACACACACACACACTCGTGACCCCACCCACCTTGTCTCCAGTGGGCGTCACCCAGTAGAACTGGGGGGCGGGGTCAGCGTCCGCCCAGCACTCCAGTGTGATTGGCTGCCCGGCGCTGACGTTCATGGCAGGTGGGAAGGCGTGAGGAGAGATGTGAGGCAGGCAGCTGTTGGCCCCGCCCCCGCCGGGCCCGCCCCATGCGACCGCCACCACTTCCTGCAGCTCCCGACCGATCAGGTGATGCGGGGTGGAGCAAAGGGTGATGGAGGACTCCAGCATCTTGAGATGTGATTGGTTGCCGAGGTGAGGCCCCCAGGAGGAGAGACAGTCACACCGCAGGGGGTTGGAGTGAAGAGACACCTCCTCCAGGGAGGGCAGGGAGGAGAGGAGGTCTCCAGAGAGGAGGCTGAGCTGGTTACTGTGGAGGAGGAGAGTCCGGAGGGAGGACAGGTCACTGGGGGGGGGGGGGGGGGGGAGAGGGGGGGACAGAAACAGGCAGAATTTAGACCTTCATCATCGTCGTCGTACTGTTTGTTCATGTGCCAGACAGACTGTAGAAACACACCTGAAGGCCTGCGGGTCGATGTAGGACAGTCGGGGGTTGTTGCAGAGCTCCAGTTTGGCGATTTCTGGAAGGTTTTGGAAAGCAGCTCGCTCCACCATCAGCAGCTCCTCCATGTTGTTCAGACTGAACCAAAACAAAAGAACATTTATTATTACAAGAACAACCTGAAGCTTCTGAACACTAAAATATAAATATTTGTTAACATAAATAGTCGCACAGAAAACCTTGAGTTAAGATTTTCCTTAAAGTCTGAGTTGAGTTTTCCTTAAAATACATTCAGTTGCACAAAACACCCTCATATCTTCTCCTTAAGGATTCATTAACATGTTCTCTTAAGTATTTTTCCCCTTATCTTGGTCTTCTACTTAAGGAAGCTGTTGCACAAAAGACCTCAGCAACCAAACTAAGGGAGAGAATTTAAGGGACCTCTGGCTTTATCTTAACCGCAACACGGTGGAGTTGATGGCGACAGATGAAGAAATTTTTCGTATCCTGAGAAGAGTGTTCCGCGACCGGGAGAACCCAGTGGATACGCTAAATGATGAGTTTGTATCTGTAGCCTGCATTTACATTTACTCATTTAGCTGACGCTTTTATCCAAAGTGACTTATAATCGCTATATTTGTCAGAGGTCGCACGCCGATTCTGTGCAGCAGCCTTAAGTAAATTCCTTAGCTAAGGAGAAGTGAGTCCAGCAGGTGGCGCTGTTCCACTCTGATCACTGGTCAGGTGTTTGCCTTTACATGGAAACATCTTATAACTATAAAATCATGTTTGTTTTAACAGCATATCATATGGAGGTCCCGTTTTCAGTTCTGACTCTGGTAATATCTTTCAATCCAGAGTCTGCATCAGGACAACATAAATGTAACAGAGTCTGACGTTTCTGAAGAAAATCACCAGCAGTCTATGAGTTTAAAAGACTCTTCCAGAACTACGTTCATTGGTTTGAAAACAGCTTATTTATGCGGTAAACTACTTTCAGTTTACCGCAGTTCCAGCAAATGACAGCACTTGAACTTAGAGTAAGATATTTCTGTTTGTACTGAACACTTAATGACCTTGAGTATTTGGGTCAAGTAGTTCATGAAAGAGTCAAGAAGCTCCTCGTGGTAAGGCGCCAGGTGTGGATGAGATCCGCCCTGAGATGCTAAAGGCTCTGGACGTTATTGGGCCGTCTCAGCTTACGTGCTTCTTCAGTGTCGTGTGGAGGTCGGGGACAGTCCCTATGAAGTGGCAGACTGGGGTGGTGGTTCCTATTTTCAAAAAGGGCAACCGGAGGGTGGGCTTCACAGTTTGTTCCAGGTTGCTGGAAAAGAGACTCCGACCGACTGTTGAACCGCAGATTCTGGAGGAGCAATGTGGATTCTGTGCTGGCCCTGGAACATCGTGGGAACATTCAGTCCATATGTGCATTGAGGACTTGGAGACGGTTTACCACCAAATACACCTGGGGGGAATCCTGTGTGGGGTCCTGCAGCAGTATAGGGTACCGGAGCTGTTGCTACGGGCCATCCGGTCCTGGTATAACTGAAGTGTCTGTATTCTCAGCACAAGGTCAAACCTGTTTTCAGTAACTCTACCAAGGTTGTCCTTAGTCTCCGATCCTGTTTGGGATTTTCTTGGACAGGATCTGAAGGTCAGCCGAGGTGAGGAGAGTGTCCGGTTTGGGAACTTTCTCTGCCTTTTGCAGATGATGCGGTTCTGTTGGCTGTCTTGGACCGTGACTTTCGGCGTGCACTGGGGCGGTTTGCCGCCGACTGTGAAGCGGTTGGGATTAGGTCTGAGGTCAGGGTTCTCTGCCGGAAAACAGTGGATTGCTCGCTCCGAGTTGCGAGTGAGTTGCTGCCCCAAGTAAAGGAGTATCTCAGCATCTTCACAAGTGACGGTGAAGCGGGATGGACGGTTGGATTGGTGCGGCGTCCGTTATGGTTCAGAGGGAGCTGAGCCGAAAGGCAAAGCTTTTGATTTAGCAGTGGATCTACGTTCCAGCCCTCACATGTAGTCATGAGCTTTGGGTAGTGACTAAAAAAATAAGAATGTGGTTGTGCTGAATGAGTTTCCTCCGTGGGGGACGGGTCAGGCCAGATTTAGTATCTGCAGCTGTTCAACGTGTCATATACATAATGAACATTTAGGGAAATATAAGCGTCTGATCGTCCTCTGTATCTGAGACACCCAATGTTTAAGGACTCGGATCAAAACCACTTGATCCCTACTTTTTGCAGTTGCAGACTGACCTGAGCTCTTCCAGGTGCTGAAGGTTCTGGAAATCTCCCTGCTGGACTCGGCCGATTGGGTTCTTGTTCAGGTCCAGGAACTTCAGGTTAGGGAGCATGCTCAGAGCGTCCCGAGGAACAGACCTGCCAGGAGAACAACAGTTACATCAGCCAGAGTGAGAGGATGTTACAGAAAGGGGAAGTGAACCAGCGACCGCGCCGACACACCTGAGCCGGTTGTCGTAGAAGGAGAGGCTCTCCAGGTAGTCGAGGCCCAGGAAGGCGGCGGAGGGGACGGAGGCCAGTCCCATCCCGGCCAGCACCAGGCTGTGGAGACGGGACAGAGGCAGGAAGTTCTTCTCCTCCAGACCCAGGATTGGGTTCTCCCCGATCATCAGGATCTCCAGGGACGGCAGAGACTCAAACCAGCGACTGTCGATGGCCACCAGCCGGTTGGAGTTCAGGTGGAGCCTACAGGACCGAGCAGAGGACGGGATTACTAATCAGGATCGACTAATCATTACATATTCACTGACCCGTGAGGAACCATGGGTAAAAATGAAACAGAAGACAAAAATCTTATTTAATTACCTCACAGTGATAAATTGTGATCACATTTAGTTTTTAAGCCGGTTGTACTGAGATACAGACGTGATGTATCGAAGGAAACCTTAATAAAGTTGAGGTGAGTTGAAGGAATGCAGGTTTCCCACTAATCGGAGACCTGCTCCCCCAGACCGCAAGTCGAAGAAGATACTGAACCCCAAATTACCGTTTCTGTTGTGCTCGCTGAGGAGGTTCTAGTAATCATTCAAGAGACTGTTACAGTAATCCTTTTGGTCAGAGAGGAAGTTCTTGGGGCCCTGTGAGTGGTCCAGGAGGTCCTTCAATGACTACCTGGAGTTTGTTAAGGTTGCACTTTAAAACAGAGCTGAAAAGAAGATGTGGTACTTAGTTACCGCAGCAGGTTGGTGAGCCCAGCAAAGGCCTTGGGTCCGATGGAGGAGATGTGGTTGTGGTTGATGTAGAGCTCCTCCAGACTGGACAGGTTCCTCAGACTAAAGTCCTCCAGCTCCTCGATCCGGTTCTCCTCCAGGTACAGAGTCACCAGGCGGCCCAGAGTGGAGAGACCCATAGAGCTCACCTGGACAGAGAGAGAGGGAGAAACAGACTAAATATCACTGCAGGCTGGAGCGCTGCTTCCCAAACACAGTGTAGCACACAGACCGGTTAACGTTTAGATTTAATATTATAATATAATATCAGGTTGAAGTTAAATAATACAGCCAATAATATGTTCTTCAAATTCATTAAAAGGAGGTTATATTTAAAGTGAACAATGACTGAACAAAAACGGGACATGCTGTTGAACCACCTCCAGGTGAGTCCGCTGACAGGTGCTCTCTGTTGACACACTATATGGACAAACGCACCGGGACACCAAGGACAAAGGGGTTGAGGTCAGAGCTCTGAGCGGGCCGGTCCAGTTCTTCCACACCAAACTGGGAGAAGCGTTTCTTTATGTCTAAACGTGTAGCATTAAGATTTCCCCTAACAAAGACCACAGAATGAAAAGAGCCCCTCCCAAAAGTATTAGGACAGGGGGGTTAAATGTCAGCTGAGTCGAGTCTGATTAGTTCAGACAGCAGGGAGCCGTCATGTGACCAACTGTTCAACAGCGTGATGGAAATTTTATATTTTGCAGGGTTTACTGTTTTACCTTTTATGCTGCATTCTTCTAGGTTTATGTTTCACTGTGTGGTGTTTGATAAGTGTATTATGCTGCAGCTGGGTGAGATAGGACTTCATCTCAGGGCAGCTGGTTCCTACTGTTTCTTCACTGGCAGACTGGCTGCACCTGTAGGTCTGTCTGACCCTTTGCAAAGAATAAAACATTTAAAGGACGTCTGGATTGAATTCTTTATTTGAGAAGACTCACTAAAGGAAAATTTCCAATACAACAGCCAGCAGCTGCACCAACATGTACCCTGTTTCAGCTGAATGGAGCTAAGCAGGTTTGGGCTCATCTGGTACCTGGAGGCAGACCGCCTGGGAAAATTAGGTTCCTGCTGGAAGTGGTGCTGGTGGGTGTTAGACCGAGATCCCACGGCACTTACTGCAAAGAGTAGGGGTTCCCCAGAGTCCTGGCTTTCTCCATCTGGCCACCTCATTAACCGCCAGTGTGTTTCCTCTCCAGCTGGTGTGGTGGGTGCTACAACCTGGCGGTGGTCGAGGCGAGTGTCTCTCTGACAAACTTCGAGTATCAAGATGAGGCACTATATAAATATAATCCATCTCCCTGATGCAGGCAGAAATCTGTGTGTGCGTCTGATTGTATTTTGACGACGACCTCACACTTGGCGGGTGTGTTGCTGCGGACTCACGGGAGTGCAGCGTCGCATTTGGTGACATGTTCAAATTCTTAAAATGTGAATAAACTAGAGTACAGCGCGAGCCGCTCTGCTCTACAGCAGCGAGGGCGGGGCTTATATGCCCTGAGATAAGATTCCCCGACTACCCTCTTCCTTCTCATCATTTTCAGGATTCCAATTCAGGAAGTTCTGTACTTTCTGAGACAAAGGAGCGCAGGGCGGCGCCACATCAACCTCTGTGAAGAAACAAACAGAAGAAGAAAACGTGTGCGTTACCTGTGTGAAGTGGTTCTGTGACAGGTCCAGTTCTGTCAGGTTGGTCAGACGCTGCAGTTCGGTCGTGATGGAGGAGATGTTGTTACTCTGCAGCAGCAGCACCTGAAGCACGTCAACACAACCAGCTGGTGACTCTTTAGCCACGAACATCGTTCCATAACAAACAAACCATTTAGAAATAAACGTGTTAAATCCAATCCTCACTCTTTTAGGTTGTATATAATCACATCATGCTGCTCCTGTTTCAGATTAAAGTTAACCGTGTGAGACAAAGGTGGGAAAATCGTTGGCGGTCAGTCCAAACAGCTGTCCCAGATCTCACTGTGAGACTCGTCCACTGACAGCTGATTTAGAGTTTTGAGACCAGGACAAGACGACCGGGGTCGAAATTCAAAGCCAGGTTCTCGCACAGCGACTGTTGCTAGAACCCACAGCCAAGGGTTTAATTTCCACTGGAGAGGCGGGAACACGTCCTCCTCAGTTTTACAGTTTCAGATCCCTCCTATACGGTCAGTCACAAGCAGCTCTAGGTTCAAGTAATATGGGAGCTCCGGTAATGACCAGTTTTTGACTTGTAAGTATTGTTTACATCAACGTTCAAGTCACAATTACGGCTGGGATTTGTCTAAAACCTCTGACACTACACCTGATGTCAGCTGAAGTTTGTCTTCCTAGAAAATAACCCAGGTTTAATCTAGTGTGACCCGTCCAGTGTGACCCCGCCTCTCGCCCAATGTCAGCTGGGACTGGCTCCAGCCCTCCGCGGCCCTACATGGATAAGCAGGTGTAGATAATGGATGAGACAGAGTGATACTATTTTACTGAGCGTTACAGTTACCTGTGTGTCCGATGAAACGTTGGCTGGTATTCTCTGCAGATGGAGTTCATTACAGTCCACCGTCCTGGCCTGGTGATACACAGACTGCGGGGTGTACCAGGGCCTCGTCTCACACACGCACTGCAGAGGACACAGCACAGCGCCGCCTACAGGACACACAACCAGACCTCTATTTAAAAACACATTGATCTTCACGGACCACCCATCATGTGTCCATCTGCCGTAGATCCAACGAACAACTGTTCTTTACCTTGACTGGCCCCGCCCACTCCAGCACACACCGATGATGTCACCAGGGAGAGGAGGGGGATGACAAGGTCTGCAAATCCCATGGCGCACTGGTGGCGGAGAAGAGAGGAAGTGTTGGATGAACGGAGACTTCCTCCAGAAGGTCAGAGGGAGGCGAGTCACATCGACAGCTGGAGGGAAACACATAGGAAGTGATGTCATTAACCTCGTACCTGGTTCAAATCTCAGAGACGAGAAGAGAAGCAATGCAGAGACCACTTCTGGCTTTAGGAATCTGCTTTTCCAAGTTCATCAGTTCACTTCGGGATTCTGGATCAATTTCAGACGAATCAGCAGGATTTTGTTCTCACGTTTCACACCTCATGATGGAGGTGATGTCTCTACACCAGTTACTTATGTTAAAGTAATGTTATCTTTAGTTATGTTACAGTAATATCCTATCTAGTCATTTTATAGATCTGTTATATAGTGTACTTAGTGAGTAAGATGGCGCTGGGTATAGCTGCCTCGGTGCGCTTTGTTGTGTTTTGTTTTTGTGTGTTAATTCAGTTTTCGGCTGAGATTCCCGGAGCTCTTTCACCAGAGAGGAGCTCATGAACATCAGGGGAACAACTCCAGCGGATTTAATTCCCACTATTCTCGCGTCATCAGTGGAATTATTGGACATTTCAGTGAAGGGCTCGCTCGCTGTCGTTCGCACTGTGAAGCGCCGCAGGAGAGGAAAAAGAGCCGGGTCACTTGTGCGTCTTCGCCGGCCAACTCTCCGGCGAAACAAAAGGTGGAGGTGTCTGTTTTTATATGAACAATGGCTGGTGTAGCGACGTGACAGTGATTCAGCAGCTCTGTTCTCCTGATCTGGAATTTCTTATTAACTGTAAACCGTTTTACTCCCAACGTGAGTTTGCTTCATTCACTCGGTCGGTGTTTACATCTCGCCGCACGCCAACGTGCACGGCGCACAGCGGATACTGTGTGGAGCAGACAAACCTGGACTCCCTTCTTATTGTTCTCTATGACTTTAACAAAGGAAACCTCAGCCATGGACTCCCCAAATACAGTTTTTAACGTGTCCAACCAGAGAGGGGAACACTTTGGATCACTGCTACACCACAGTTAGCAGGGCCTATCACGCCGTCACACGCGCTCCACTGGGACACTCTGATCACGTGATGGTCCATCTGATCCTTGCTTACAGGTAAAAACTAAGGCCCCATCCACACTACTGTGTTTTCGAATTAAAACGGAGACCTTTTGCTACGTTTGCACCTCTCGTCCAGAATGAAACGACGAAAACGAAGACCTAAAACGCAGAAGTTTGGAAACGCTGCCGACCCCGTTTTGCATTTCAAAACTCCGGAGGGTGTTTTAGTGAAGACGGGCCAAAACGGAGGACTTTAGAAACGATGATGCAGCCGCTCACGCTCGGCTCTCTGATTGGGTCTTGCAAAGTAGAAACACGATGCTGCTGACCGGGTTTTTGACATCGTATTTTTATTATAATATTATGTACCGTGCAAATAACCTAAAATCGTACTGTGCATGTCGCCGTTTCCTTTGTGATGACTCCCAGTCCGTTTTCTGCCGCCACACTCCCGAGTTAGATTCAGCAACAGTCCCAGCTCGTTTTTGGTGCATGCAAAATAATAAAGAAACGGGTCTGATAATTTCTCTGTATTTATTTATTCATTCTTTCGCCAAATCTTCTGTAACTACGGAATAGACCACCTGCTTCATGTTTACACCTGCACGCGCACACCCGGTGTACCTAAACAGGCCCTACTGTGCATTTTCAGTCATTTTAATGTAAACGGAGATCAACTCCAAAGCTAAAACGCTGGTGCGGACGGAGATCGTATTCGTTTTAATTCTCCGTTGGTAAACTAAAACGGAGTAGAATGGACGGGGCCTAAAGCTCTGTAAACCTGTAGTGAGGACATCAAAGAAGTGGACTAGTGAAGCTATCGAGGATCTTCAGGAATGTGGATGAGTTTACAGAGGCTGTGACGTCCTATATCAGCTTCTGTGAGGACACATGTATTCCAACACACACCAGGGTGAGTTATAACAGTGACAAACCCTGGTTTACAGCTAAACTCAGACAGCTAAGGTTGGAAAAGGAGGAGGCGTTTAGGAGTGGTGACACAGCCGGGTGCAGGGCGTTAAAGTTCAGGTTTAGCAGGGAGGTGCGAGAAGCTAAACGACTGTACGCAGAGAGACTAAAGAACCAGTTCTCTGCAAACAACGCCACTTCTGTCGGAGGGCGTTCGGACAGATCACAAACTATAAACCCAAAGTCCTCCACTCCATAAACGATTCTCACCTGGCAAATGAGCTGAACCAGTTCTACTGCCGCTTTGAGAGTCAATCGGACACCATCCCCTGTGACTCCTCTGCTCAGCTCACTTCTCTCCTCCCTACTCAGAGCTGGCCAGCTCCACCCCCTCTCCTCCTCTCTCCATCACAGAGAGGGAAGTCAACGGTCTTTTCAGGAGGCAGAAACCCTGCAAAGCAGCTGGGCCGGACTCTGTCTCCCCATCCACCCTGAAGCACTGTGCTGAAACCAAAGACCACTGGACTAAACGTCTACAGACCCGTCGCCCTGACCTCTGTGGTCATGAAGTCCTTTGACCGTCTTCTGTTGTCCCACCTAAAATCCATTACAGACCCTCTCCTGGACCCCCTGCAGTTCGCCTACAGAGCCAACAGGTCTGTAGATGATGCAGTAAACATGGCCCTTCACTACATGCTCCAGCACCTGGACTCCCCAGGAACCTACGCCAGGACCTGTTTGTGGATTTCAGCTCTGTTTTCAACACCATCATCCCGGCCCTGCTGCAGGACAAGCTCTCCCAGCTGAACGTGCCTGACTCCACCTGCAGGTGGATCACTGACTTCCTGACGGACAGGAAGCAGCACGTTCAGGGACCATCAGCACCGGTTCCCCTCAGGGCTGCGTTCTTTCCCCCTTCTCTTCTCCCTGTACACCAACATGGGGATGAGTCCGCCTACAGGTGGGAGATCGACCATCTGGTGACCTGGTGCAACCAGAAACAGTCTGGAGCTCAACGCTCAGAAGACAGTGGAGATGGTCGTGGACTTCAGGAAGAGCCCAGCCCCACCCTCCCCCATCATCCTGTGCGACTCCCCATTCACCACTGTGGACCCCCTCTGCTTCCTGGGCACCATCATCTCCCAGGACCTCAAGTGGGAGCTGAACATCACCTCCCTCACCAAGAAGGCCCAGCAGAGGATGTACTTCCTGCTGCAGCTGAAGAAGTTCAGCCTGTCAAAGACAATGATGGTGCACTTCTACACCGCCATCATTGAGTCCATCCTCACCTCCTCCATCACCATCTGGTACGCTGCTGCCACTGCCAGGGACAAGGGCAGGCTGCAGGTGAAGGTGATTGGCTGCAATCTTCCTTCTCTTCTGGACCTGTACGCCTCCAGGACTCTGAGGCGAGCAGGAAAGATTGCAGCTGACTCCACTGACACTCCACCCCTTGCAAATGATACAAATGTCTCTGCACACGTAAATACTGTTTTATCTCGTGTCGTGCACAGACCTGGCACGTTGCACATATTTGCTGATCTTTTTTGTTGTATATTTTTATGTTGTCAGTTATATATTTATATGTACACAATATTCTCTAACGTTGCGTTACTTCTGCACGGCACAGACCCAGAATAATGCACATGTATATCTGCAACGTTGTTCTTCTATTCCATATTTATATATTTCTACAGTTATTTATGTCGACTGTATGTTTGTCTTCGTGTAGCACCTCATCACCGCAGCAAATTCCTCGTATGTGTAAAACACTACTTGGCAATAAAGCTCCTTCTGATTTTAATTCTGATTTTAGTTATCTTTAGTTATGTTAAAGTGTTGTTAAATTTAGTTATGTTAAGTCATGCTACAGCAATCCTATGTGTAGTTATGTTACAGTTTTGTAATAATTAGTTATGTGTAGTTATGTTACAGTTTTGTAATAATTAGTTATGTGTAGTTATGTTAGTTTTATTTAGTTGTATTACAGTTTTGTTATATGTAGTTATGTGTAGTTATGTTACAGTTTTGTTATATTTAGTTATGTGTAGTTATGTTACAGTTTTGTTATAGTTATGTGTAGTTATGTTACAGTTTTGTAATAATTAGTTATGTGTAGTTATGTTAGTTTTATTTAGTTGTATTACAGTTTTGTTATATGTAGTTATGTGTAGTTATGTTACAGTTTTGTTATATTTAGTTATGTGTAGTTATGTTACAGTTTTGTTATATGTAGTTATGTGTAGTTATGTTACAGTTTTGTTATATTTAGTTATGTGTAGTTATGTTACAGTTTTGTTATATTTAGTTATGTGTAGTTATGTTACAGTTTTGTTATATTTAGTTATGTGTAGTTATGTTACAGTTTTGTTATATGTAGTTATGTGTAGTTATGTTACAGTTTTGTTATATTTAGTTATGTTACAGTTTTGTTATATTTAGTTATGTGTAGTTATGTTACAGTTTGTTATATTTAGTTATGTTACAGTTTTGTTATATTTAGTTATGTGTAGTTATGTTACAGTTTTGTTATATTTAGTTATGTGTAGTTATGTTACAGTTTTGTTATATGTAGTTATGTGTAGTTATGTTACAGTTTTGTTATATTTAGTTATGTGTAGTTATGTTACAGTTTTGTTATATGTAGTTATGTTACAGTTTTGTTATATTTAGTTATGTGTAGTTATGTTACAGTTTTGTTATATGTAGTTATGTGTAGTTATGTTACAGTTTTGTTATATTTAGTTATGTGTAGTTTTGTTACAGTTTTGTTATATTTAGTTATGTTACAGTTTTGTTATATTTAGTTATGTGTAGTTATGTTACAGTTTTGTTATATTTAGTTATGTGTAGTTATGTTACAGTTTTGTTATATTTAGTTATGTGTAGTTATGTTACAGTTTTGTTATATTTAGTTATGTGTAGTTATGTTACAGTTTTGTTATATTTAGTTATGTGTAGTTATGTTACAGTTTTGTTATATGTAGTTATGTGTAGTTATGTTACAGTTTTGTTATATGTAGTTATGTGTAGTTATGTTACAGTTTTGTTATATGTAGTTATGTGTAGTTATGTTACAGTTTTGTTATATTTAGTTATGTGTAGTTATGTTACAGTCATGTTATAATTAGTTATGTGTAGTTATGTTACAGTCATGTTATAATTAGTTATGTGTAGTTATGTTACAGTTTTGTTATATTTAGTTATGTGTAGTTATGTTACAGTTTTGTTATATTTAGTTATGTGTAGTTATGTTAGTTTTATTTAGTTGTATTACAGTTTTGTTATATGTAGTTATGTGTAGTTATGTTACAGTTTTGTTATATTTAGTTATGTGTAGTTATGTTACAGTTTTGTTATATGTAGTTATGTGTAGTTATGTGTAGTTATGTGTAGTTATGTGTAGTTATGTTACAGTTTTATTTAGTTGTATTACAGTTTTGTTAAATTTAGTTATGGATATTTATGTTGCTGTTTTGTAATAATTAGTTATGTTACAGTTTTGTTATAATTAGTTATGTGTAGTTATGTTACAGTTTTGTTATATTTAGTTATGTGTAGTTATGTTACAGTCATGTTATAATTAGTTATGTGTAGTTATGTTAGTTTTATTTAGTTGTATTACAGTTTTGTTATATGTAGTTATGTGTAGTTATGTTACAGTTTTGTTATATTTAGTTATGTGTAGTTATGTTACAGTTTTGTTATAATTAGTTATGTGTAGTTATGTTACAGTTTTATTTAGTTGTATTACAGTTTTGTTAAATTTAGTTATGGATATTTATGTTGCTGTTTTGTAATAATTAGTTATGTTACAGTTTTGTTATATTTAGTTATGGGTATTTATGTTGCTGTTTTGTTATATGTAGTTATGTGTAGTTATGTTACAGTCATGTTATAATTAGTTATGTGTAGTTATGTTACAGTTTTGTTATATTTAGTTATGTGTAGTTATGTTACAGTTTTGTTATATTTAGTTATGTGTAGTTATGTTACAGTTTTGTTATATGTAGTTATGTGTAGTTATGTTACAGTTTTGTTATATTTAGTTATGTGTAGTTATGTTACAGTTTTGTTATATGTAGTTATGTGTAGTTATGTTACAGTTTTGTTATATGTAGTTATGTGTAGTTATGTTACAGTTTTGTTATATGTAGTTATGTGTAGTTATGTTACAGTTTTGTTATATGTAGTTATGTGTAGTTATGTTACAGTTTTGTTATATTTAGTTATGTGTAGTTATGTTACAGTTTTGTTATATGTAGTTATGTG